GCCGCTGCTTAACCTGCATCAGTTACGAGCAGGTGGGAGTGAGTACAGTTAAATATCGTACTCACACTATGCAATGCACATTTCATAATATGTCAAATTGGCATGGTCGCAGCATGAACACAAACAATACACATATGTCACATCTCCATCATAACATAAATACTCCTGTGCACATCTTTCATAATAGTCGCGGAAAGGGGATTCATTACCCTAACGGCGAGAGTACGTGCCACGCAAGGACACGGCCTTTCATAATAGGTCTTTACGGAGACTTGCCTCATAAGGCAACCGTATTACATCGACGGGGACAACCGTAACGATGGCCATCATAATAGCTCACATCGATAGGCTACATATTCACGTTCATACATAGATCACGCCAAAACGGAAACACATATTTATATACACATTGCACAGGAAATTTTAGAATAACAACCCACCTGGATATTCTGAACTGAAAAAGAGAGTCGTCGCTTATGTGGAAACTCAAGGGCTCGACTCCTCAAAATCTACATAACAATAAGCGATGCTCGGATAAATAACCAACTCTTAACTCGGTAAACTAATTTACCAATTTGAAGGATTTCCTAGCTTAAGGTTCGCGACTTAGTTCTTTCTCTTTCTTAGATATTGGAACTCTTGACTCGGACTCTTCTCAAAATCTCGAAAATTAGGTTCGGATAATCTTATCAAAAACCCATTTTTTTCTCAAAAATAATTCTAAGACAAATGAACTCATATTTTTATTCACAATCAAGGCACATAAGAAAATACCCAATTTTTCAATCCTTTACGAACCATTTAAAGCATGTTGATCATTATTATTATTGCACACTAAGCCCAAGCAAAACTCACGGAAATCTCACAATTAAATTCTCAACATTGATAAGAAATCTAAGTTATGGCTAATCTTTGAAAAGAAAACCACAAGGAATTTAACACTTCACGCTTAACACACGTGGCCCAAATGAACNGATAATCTCCAATTTTAAATAGTTCAGCAACTCGAAAATTAAACTGATTTTATTTATTTAGTAAAAGTAAACTAAGCCATTTGAAATCACTTTGTCCAGAATTTCTCCACACCTTTTTGAAAACTGAAATATTTCCCCTTTCAGAGTTACAAAAATGCAAAATAACCAACACAACTCACGGCAATTTGAAATTATTCTAACTCAAATATTTTGAACAATCTCTGAACCCTTTTCAATGGTAAAATAAAGAGGACATCTAACACCAAAATTTTGAGAGGTAAAACACTCCTATCAGTAGCTGAAAATTCGAATAAAAGCAGCTAAAATTTCGAATTTTCAATGCCAAAAACATTAGAGAATTTAAATCGATTTTTCTAACAATTCAAAAAGCAACTTAACACTAATATCCGAGGCATCAGAAAGTAAAAATCAATGGCTTAAATGACACATAAAGGCTAGTACGAGAGTCCAATTCTAATACTCGCAAACATCTTGATTCTCAACCAAAGCTTATGAAATCAAAATTCTATCGAACCTTAAGCATAATCGAAATTCTTCAAATAATATCTAACATATTAAGGAGGAGAAACGAGCTTTTACCTCCTTTGGGAATCTACTACTAATCGGGCTCGAAAGAACAAAAATCGAATGGCCTTGGATTTCTCTGACAAACTCACACGTACGGCTGGAACTCCTCGATCGTGTTCGAAGGTTGACAGTGTTAGAGTAGGGTACCCGGCGTTCCAATCTAATTGGAAGTATTCTACTTGTAAATACAGTCTATTGGAATTATATTATGAATAAGGCATTTCTTTATCTTAAGAGAAAGCATTTATCTTATAATTGCACTTAAGATAAAATCCCTAGATCACTTATGGTTATAAGGTATGGTTGCGCATAGAGATGGTGATCATGGAACATACCTTGAAAGCCGTGATCTTAAATACAGTTCCAAGTCGATGGATGTTTCGAGATGGGATATCGAATAATCCATAAAAGACTTGCACATAGTTTGTATGCTTGTTGGACAAGAATGTTGCATTCCATCTACATTAGCGTAAGACGTAAGTACATTTATGTGGGTGCTTGTTAGAGAACAAGTTCACTGAACATGACCGTATGAAAATTCTTAATGAAGAATTTATTCAGTCGAATAAGAATTTTCATGTTACAATAGTACATGACTAATCCTAAGACTTGAGGCACAATGGTAACTTTGTGCATATTACATTCTACTTTGATTTATCCTTTTGGTAGCTAGCACTATCGTTTAAAGGGATAAGTTGGGTATTATGTTGATATGTATGGAAGTTTGTTAGTGGCCAATAAAGGATTCGACACTTATGAAGATAAGTGAATTTCCTATGTGTTTCATAGTTATTAATCCAAAGTCCTTGGCCAAGGCAGAGATGAATAGTGATTCATAACCGGGTTAATAAACATGAAATAGAATCATAGTTATTAAGTCAATTTGGGTTTCGACAAAATCATACCCAAGACTTAATCGGGAAATTAGATGTCGAAAGGATTTTACATGTATGGAGTTGTAATCGGAATAGGTTTACTCGCTATTCACTTAATACTAGATTCA